TTCTGATGGCTCTGCTCTGAAACAAATTAAAAGTATGAAGAAAACTGGTCGCAGGGTCCTGGCTGAGCTACCTTACCCTCTATTGCAATCTCTCGTTCAGTCATGCCACAGAGCAGAGATTTTACATGAAGGGGGTAGGGCTGGGAAAAGAACCAGAAATGCTGATCAGTAATTCTGTGCTCAGCACACGAGACCGCAGTTTCCCCTGGGCAACACATTTCTGCAGATGAAACAGAAATATCTCTCTGGTTCCTATTTTATATAGACCAGAATGACTGCAGAGAGTTGTCCCCAGCTGCTGGCCTGCAGGCACGGCTGTAATTTCTGAATATTAGGGGACTTTCCCTTTAGAGATTCCTTGGCCCTGACTTTTTAAGTTAAAATGGATAATGATGGGCCAAAATGCCTCCTCCCTTTTCCTCCTCCTCCCCCACAAATAATAAAAATAATTAAAAAAAAAAAAGAAACATGAAAGATATTAGATTTAGAAGAAGTGTGAATGTTTTGTGTAATCTCCCTAGAATATTGACTTTTGGCTAATACACTTTGTATGTATTCTTCCTTTTATTTACAAAAATTCTGGATTTTTTTGCTGATCTTAAAAGGATTTTTAGCTTTAGAGCACTAGAAGTTTTCCCATTTGGCATTATTTGTCTGTGTGTGCAGCGTGATTTAGCCTAAGAGATAAAAAGCATCCCCTCCTGGCACATCTGAAAAGTAATACTACCTACTTTGTGAATTCACCACTCTTGGCTTTTAATCACCCATTTTGACTATAGTGGAGGAAAAGGCAAGAAGAGCAGAGGAAACTTTGATCTGGACCTATCTTTTTTTATTTCTAAAACTGATTTTAACCTGGGTAAGTTTCCCAATTTAGTTCATTGCTCAACACCCAAATATTCACACCACTGAGGAAGGTGCAAGATAGGGAAGTGAGCTGAGTAGGAGAAGGCACCTACTGGTGGGGCTGACCTGGCTGGCTCAGGGCCTACCTTAAGGCCAGCCCAAGTCTCGGCAGCCTTGTGGAGCCCTGATAATCTATGGTCTTCCTTTTTGCGGTAGCAGAACCCTTATCTGCATTTGGGGAGGAGAAGGAAGAGGTCAAGTCTGATCACTACAGGCAAGCGCTCAAAATGGAGCACGTTTATCCCAAAGCAGCCCGTGAGTGTGCTCAGAAGGGATGCAGTGAGGTTACCAAAGAGCCCAGGCCATAGATGAGCACTGTGCAAGTCAGCCACATCAAAGGTACATCAAAAGCAGATGATAGATCTAAAAACGCCACGACCTTCCCCACATCCTCCAACCCAAGCACACAGCAGCAATTGCTAACTTTGCTCAACGCAGCATAAAAACACATAAATTACTCCAAATCCATGACTGGAAAAAGAAGATATTCTACTCGGATACATCTAAAAAAAAAAGATCTTTATTAGGTGTAAAGGATCTTTATTAGGTGTATAGGTTTGATTCTAATCTTGTTATGATTCGCTAAAATTCCTTTTTTGAGATAGAAGGGTCAAATAGTACAAACTACTTTTGTCCAGTCAGTATGCAGTAATGGGATTCTTGGTTAGAACTTAACAAAATCTGACTTTGCTGAAATACTAATGTAGATTTAATCAGCTCAGTTTAGCTAAATCCTTATTAACAAATGGGTAATGACCACCCAGTGTTTAACGCACACTGGAGCTCTGAATGAAAGCTATTACCAAATAAATTCCCTAAAGACCTCTAATAATTTTCCTCAGAATGGCAGGACATTCACATTACTACTTTTTTTAAACAAACAAAAAAGTTTCACTAATATCTGGTTATGAGTATAAATATTACTGTTTGGTGGAGGAAATTGTCAAAATGACTACATTTAGGAGTTAAAAATTGGACTAAGAAGGTGCCGTTTCACCAAAGCGAAACGGTTCCTAAGTTCCCCCAGCAGGAACTCCATTCCTTTCCCATTTCTCATTTAACAGAGATCCACGGCCATCAAAATGTCACAGTGGACCACTGGCACTGAGGTATAAATTGGTCTTTGCAAGGTGCAGCTTGAATAAGTGTTGTAACAAGAGCAGTGTAAAACTGTGATTTTTGACCAGCACACACTTGTCCCATTCTATAGCAAATATATCTTGCCCTTAGCTGAGGAGTCATCCCTATATTTACAACAAAAACATAAGAATATTTTAGCACCAGCTCATTCTGGTGAAAACACCAGAAGCTTTCACATTGTCAGATATTTTTTCCAGATCTTATACAGGTAAGCCCAGCTTTCAGCTCAAGATATTTCAATTTTAAAGCCCACTTCAATAGAAAGGAAAAAAAAAAGGTACTAAACACATACTGAAATCTATCCAAGTTTGTGAAACTTGGGAAGAAAGACCAGGGCCCAAAACATGGGGTGCTTGGGACACGAGGTGCTCATCTGGCTGTGGTTTCTGAGTGGTGCCACTTGTTCCCTGTCCATTCCTACCCTGTTGGCATCAGCAGGACACATTTGTGCTTTTACATTATAAACACTCAATCACTTATCTCTATTCCAAAAAGGAGAGTGGAAGATCCTCAGACCAACTGCTGCCGGGCTAAAGGCCTCTACCATTGCAGGGTGATATTCATTGACTGCTTTTCAGTCTGCACAGAGGCAGAAAATAAAACTAAGTGGGATTTTATGTTCAAAACCAAGACACCAACCAAGCTGGATTTTCTGTCCTCTTCATTCTTGACATTCAGATAAAGGGACAAAAAGTACTTGCAAGACCTCTGCTAGATATGACACTGTCTGCAGCAGCTGAAGGGCTCGCAGAGGTGAAGAAGCAGTGAGACTTTCTACCCTTTCCTCCTCCACATAGTCAAGCAAAACCTATAGGATGCATCTCCCATTATCCATTTGCAGTTGATGTTATTTTTAAAACAGACAATCTCGAAAACATTAGGGTCAGAAGACTTAGATTATTTGAAGCTCTTCCTACCTTGTGGTATATTATGAGGCAGTTCATTTTATTCACATGAAAAAGCAAGCAAGCAAACAAAAAAAAAAATAAAAGTTTAATAATACGCTTCTCCCTGGCTCCTTCAGTTGTGCCTCATTTGCTTCTGAAGAGAGCAGGGCCAACCTGCTGTCTCCCAAGTATTCCTGTAGTGTATTCCCAAGTATTCCTGTAGATATTAATCTAATTATCCTAATAAATTATTAGCTTACAGAAAGCTAACTACTAAAACTTTTAAGACGGGAGAAAATAAAGATTAAATTAACATGAAATCACATTTGCTGCCAGCCTCCAAACAGAAAGTTCTCTAAGAAAGTTATTACGGCTAAGCAGAACGGTGCTCTGTCCTGACAACTGAGTTTTGAAACACTTCTTTGGAATCCTATGATTCCAAAACCCATTTTGATTCATGCCAGTTGTATTTTAAAAGTACTGTACAAAAGTGAGTTTCTAATGTATTTTTAGCATTTAGGTGAAAACATGCCACAAATAATGGATCCGTTCTTGAGTACTGCTTCAGGAAAACATTCTTACAAAGCAATTCCCGATTACTCCTCCCAAAGCCCCTGGGATGAGGGGCCAGCTTTGCGGGTGCCTGTGGGAGCCGCGCACTGCCCGAGCCACGTCGGTGGGGCAGCAACACCGCGATGGCTCCAGCACACACGCTACGACCCTCCTACATGGAATTCCTACCCACAGGAATATTGCAATGAACATAAATAGAACTGGCCCTTCCTTCCAGGCTATGGAAGATAAAAATAGGCGGTTTAAATCTCCCAAAAAAAAAGAAGCTATGCATGGTTTCCTCACTGCAGCATTTTATTACCACTTTCAATCATCCAGAAAAGGAGAAGACTTTTGGAAAAAAAACATCTGGAAATGCCTGTTAACCCCAATGCTGAACTGTGCTTGGAGCATTGCATGGAGAGGAAGGCCCCGACCAAGAGACGTCCCCGGTAAACGCGGCACCGTCCAGCCGGCCCAGGGTGCAACGCCGGGAGCTCCGGCTGCCCCTTCCCGGGACGGACACGGCTCCGCACGGGGCAGCTGCGGAGCGGGCAGGGGTGTCCGCGTCCGCTGCTCCTCCTGGGCGCTACCTGCGGAGCCCCGGGCGCGGCTGAAACGGGGCTGGGGGGACACGGATGGGGTCAGGGCAGGGAGAGACCCCGCGCAGCCGCCCGGGCCGGGACGCGGGAGGCGCCGGGGCGGCCGCGACCAGGCCGGACCGCGACATGGCCGAGCCGCGACGCCGCCGCGCA